ACGCGGGTAGGCGGTGATCGCACGGCAAAGTTTCCAAACAGACCACTGAGATTTTTTAGAAAACATCCGCGGTGACACCGTCGCCTACCTTCCCCCGTCCGCCGCGCACTCCTCCCGCAGCAGAGAGTCCAAACTCTTGTCACGACCAAAGCTCGACGCAGTCTGCAGGATCCAAAGAGCCGCTCCTCCGGTTACCGGGGAACAACGCAGCCGGTGCACGGCTCCCAGCGTGCGTGTGCGTACGCGTGTGTGTCTGTGTGTGTGTGTGTGTGTGTGTGTGAGAGAGAGAGAGAGAGAGAGAGAGAGGGAGAGTACGAGAGTGTGACAGCTCATGGAGAGAATGAGCCCAGAGAGGAGAACCGGGGAAGTTAGGGGGAGTTCCCGTTAGGAGCCCGGTGGGGCGGGGGCTTCAGGAGAGTGACGCGCCGAGCACATCTCACGTTCACGGCTCGTTTCTGCTGCACGTTGGTCTACCGCAAGTGTTTAAATCGCGCCAGAAGTCATACTCAATTATAACATTAATAGGCGATCATTTCCTGATAACCCATTTTGTTTGACTTTACAGCCATGTTTCATTATGCAGATGATTTTCTGTAGTATGTTTGTTTGTATTAGAGCTGTGACACACAGGAACCTTGATGCAAACATGAGGACGCACTTAGAAATGTTCTAAAAAAATGTCAATTATAATAGCTAGGAACCACATTTGTCATTATCAGTCTTAACGTTAACCAGTTAGTCTGAGTGAAAATGGGGAAAAAGGTTCAACAATGATATCAAGTAACTCTGAAAGTCTGGAGTTCATATTACAATCCAAAACGCCAGTTTTACTAGATTGATTTCAATATAAAAAGCCAGTTTCAAGAATGGGATGTCAGCCTTCTTGAATATAAAATGACTGGATACACAATTTCACATGCAATTTCTAAACATTATGCTTTGCAAGCTATGCAAGTCCCTGAAGTGATCCCTCAGAGACACACAACACAACAAACACTAACAAAACGTTGTCACTGATGCCATGTGAAATGACCAGGCATGATATTCATACGCCATTTCATCAGACCCAAGGAATGCATTTCTTAAGTTCCATCATAAATCAAACAAAACATTAGGCAGGCTAAAGTTTCAAGGGAAATAATTCATTCAGTGCACAACTTTATTTTTGTACCGCTGTGGAATCTAGAACTGTATTGGGGGTGTTTTTGGATAATATAAAAACGTAGAGTAAGACATTACAATAGTAACAATGCATATGATTTTAGTAAATAAAGAGTATCTAAATCATCTAGACCTCGTCTAAAAAAGTTAAAAGTTAAAAAAGTACAGGGGATATATCACTGAATGTGAACATGAGTCAATATTTTTTCTAAATGTGGCAACATTTTCGTCCATCCATTATCCATCCATCCATCCATTATCGTTACCGCTTATTCCCTGTGGCAACATACAGCACAGAAATTCAAATGGAACATGTCACGCTAAACAGGACAAGTGGTTTTTCTCAGAGACATCCCCCCCCCCCCCCCCACCCCAAACAGTTAAAATGTCCAACGGGACTCAGCCGAGCTGTGTGTACAGTGTGTGTATAGTGTGAACAGTTTAAAGCCAAAACAATGACACATTTTTTTTTATAAGGCTTGTGCTCTAATGAGTAGGTTACAGCTATCTATGGCAGGAATAACTGGGGGAGACTTCACCCTGCAGTGCAAACAGTCATCAATCAAGAATTCTACAATCAAACAACAGCTTTAGTTTACGTTTCATATCGGCTGCAGGCTCCTCAATAATCAGTGAATCATAATCGTAAAAACATTGTTCACACCAGGCAACAGGTATAATTACACAAAAAGAATCGAGTGGATGAATTGCAAGATCTCTTTGCTTAAATCCTGTGTTTCTATGGAGACTGGGTTGTCGACTTCAGTGCTTACTGCAGAATGTGCTTCTTCAGGGGGTTTACAAACACAAACAAGCTTTAACATTTTTTAAAACATTTTTTGTGATGAATGAGGGTGACAGAAACATGTGCTTACAGCCTTTGGGTTGACAGCCTTATGTTATGTTCTGTTACATTCTGTTATGTTTATGAATTGGATAAAAAAGACGCTTTGATCCAAAGCAATTTACAATGTTCCCTGCAAACTGTCTTTTTTATTTCTCCACGTTGCGATGATGGGAAGTGAGAAAAGTACTTGAGTGTTGACCCCTCCCTGACTTCACATGGGTGCCCTGTGCTCCGCTTGGCATACCAATGCCCTCTATCAATCTCCGAGGGGGACAGCGAGGCTCCAGGCTCCACTTGACTGTTGAAGCCACAGTTTTAGCAGATGAACGAAGAGGTGGAAAAGTAGCTGAAATGTGAGGATGTCTGTGGTTGTGTTGCAGATGGTGTGAAGTTACCGCGCCGATGAAAAAGAGCGCGACATGCTGATGGATGGTCTGAGATGCTCTTGACACAGACACACACTCACACCTAAGATCCCCCTCCAAATCCTGCTGGAATGTGTCTCCTATAACAACATCAACTATCACAAGGTTCGCATCACATGACAAGTCGGACCACTTAGTGTGTGCGTGCATGTGTGTGTGTGTGCCTGCTCGTCTATTTCGGTATTTGTATCTGTGTGTTAAAGTACTTTGTTCTGCTCGCAGGGTAAAAATACATTCTGACACTTAATTAGAGGAGCTAGACAGAGTTTCACAGGAAGGTGACCACTCAGACACAATATCAGTGAAATTGGTAAAGAGAAGGTCAGTGAAGTGAGAAACTAAAAACGATGCTTATGTTCATAAAAAGTGTTAGGAAATATTTATGATAGGACACAATCCCCATCCACCATCCAGACAGGGATATTTCATAGTCTTGTGTACAGCAATATATACAACTTGCATTATCTTAACCTAAGTTTTTATAAATCTGATAGATTGTAAACCAATTACTTTTTTTTTCTTTATGGTATTGCAGATCATTGAAAACGCTTCACAAATGAAAGGATTCTAAACAAGTTGCTGCCTGTTCAAAAAGTAAAACCTTTAACTTGTACTTTAAGTATTCAAATGGGACTTTAGAAATGTTTAAAAAAACTGATGCCAATGGCAGATAACAAAGCCACCCTAACACATGGCGTTGTCAGGGATATTTTAGCCAATAAGACCAACAAATACACAAACAACATTATGGCAATTAAAAAATAGACTCGGAAATATTCTTAACAATGTCAACTTCTCAACACGATGCTTAACTTAATTTTCTGTGAGAAATACCCATTCTTAGCCAAGTGTTTTAGTATATTGTACCTTATGAAGATGAAATAGAGAACTGAGGCTGTAGATTAACAAAAAGCTTCAGGAGGCTCTGTTAAGTCTTTGAAAGGGTTCTCTGGGGAGAATAGCTGTGGTTTCATCCTGATGAAGAGAAAAATATGACTGTAATTCATTTGAAAAAAGACGGGGACTTTCATGTTAAAGCTGCATTACGGAGCTGAAAAAAAAAGAGAGAGAGGAAAAGGGTATAAGGATGAAAGAAAAAGCACTGAGGGTGCTGACGCATCCTGACAAAATGGAACAGAGTGTGTCACTCACCAGGTCATGTCCCAACATAGATAAACTACATGCATGCATGTTGGACATGAGAATTTGCTTGAAGCATCAAACACCTAGATCGGAGCTTTTGTTGAAAGCAGCATATCCCAGAAATGCAGCATCACATATAGAAGCAGAGATAACAGTCAAACCGAGTCACACACACACACACCAAAGGCTCACACTCTTCAGGCTCAATCTGGCAGGCAGAGGTGAGCTTATTGCTAAACCAAAGTTAATAAAACCCTTGAGTGGATGGGGATTTTTTACAAGGAGAGCCTGCTTTTCTCTTGGAGAGTGAGATTCCAGTGTGTTTGTCGAACTCTGCATCTCTGTTTCCTTGTGAGTTTGACTTTTGTCTCCGCGGGGAGATGTTCGTAAAAGCGGAAGACTTTTATTACAGCGCAACACAACAGCAGCTGTCCAAACGGGCTGCCTTCTCCGCCGCGTTAAACCCCTTTTCCTGTCTTCTAACCAGGCTCTTCGGCTTGTGTGCAGACGCTCTGCAGCTTTTTTTTTGACATGTCAAGGTCTCCCTTTCGCAGCTGTGTGTGCAAATGTTCTCATCCCTGCAAGCCGATTTGCGGGGGAAAAAAAAAAGGCCCGGCAGGCCTCAAACACAGATGGAAGCGCCGATAAAAAGGTTATCGCCCGTGTATTTTGCGAGTGGCCGTGCATTCTGGAGGTGACCCCCGCTGTAAGTGGGGAGTGTCTGTATCTTCCCTGGTAGCCGCATCACTCTCACCCTCCTGCCACCACAACAGCTGCCTCTTGTCAGTGTCGCCGTGCGGCAGCTGAGGACGAGGGGAGGAGCGCAACAACCGCATTCAACAGCCCCAGCTCTGGCTGAGGGGGGACATGCGCTTCGGGAGTGGGGGTGGGGATCTGGTTAAAAGAACATCAGGATCGCATTTAGACCAGAGAGAGGCTCATGGGAGTGGGCCGGGACGTCGGCTGAGAATGCCAAGGAGGAAGTGAGGGGTCACGATTGTGTGCATAGTAATCCGCATCATTTCTAATTTGCGTTTGACGGCAGATGTTGCATTATTGTGAGTTCTGCTCTGTATCCTTCAATGTGGCTGTTCAATTAACTCTTTGATCCACTCGGTGGCAAATAAGAGGCTGTTTGCGCCGGTTTGCTGAGAGGGATGAGCACCCGGGTTAGAGGTCAAGACTGAGGCATGTGGTTGTCCACATCAGTGTGACACTTGACCTTTCACTCCTCTTTGCTCGGACCAGCTGACATCTTGTTGCCTTGTCCAAACTGTGGGGTGCACAGACTGACGCGTTTTTCTGCTCCTGGATCAGAGTGGACCACAACATCAATCTTTGTTACAGTCCCCAGGGGACCGATGTAAACCCTCAGCCCGACAGAAATAAGATATGAGCTGGTGATGGAAAGATTTAGTTATAAGATGGTGGAAGGGAGGAATTTTACAGTTAACAGTGAGGAAAAAGAGAGCAATGTGATTTTTCCCCCCCACACCTGTACAGCTTAATCAGTCCTCGGTGTTACAGTAAAACCAAAGTTTTAACTTTGTAAATTGCCATTAGTCAGAGCTTGGCTTAACCCCAGGGCGTATACATGTGTGGTTGCGTGTAAGACTTGGAAAATCTCATGTTATTGTATGTGGCCTCAGCACTATGACTAAGATAAGACTAAGCAGAATACTTCCCGGGAAAAAATCTTTGTAACAAATTCCGTGTACCTCTGTGTGTGAAAGCCTACTCTTTTGTACTTCAAAAGGATTCTATGTAGCAAGCAGAATATCTGTGTCTAGGAGTCATACACCTTTGCTGATGTGAAAAGAAAACCAATCCTCTTTTTTGAGAGTGATGATTGATTAGTGATTATATGCATTCAGTAGGTCTTTACATTTTATGTGAAATGTTAGAAAATCCATGCGTCAAATTCTATCAGAAGAAAATGAATTATTGTTGTAAAGTATAATAATCCACTTTGTTTGGTGTATAGATTTCTTTTTTCTGTCTTTAACATACTGTGGTGACGCATCCTTAATGCATTCATCTATCCTGCTGCAATTAAAGACACCCAAAGCAACTTTTTTTTATCCCAGATGACTTTGCAGTTATTTGCAGACATTCCTGATTTCATACACACATCAGCCGCATCAATTTATATATAAATGATCTTTACAGGAGAGCCTCTGTTGAATGTTATTTTGGTTGGCTTGTATTTTTCATTTTTACGTGCATCAGACTGCTGCTTCTGTTTGTTTTCGTAGCCACAAACCTTTTTAAATCAGAATACCAGCTGCTGGGTAGTTTGCTCAAGGTACTGCGGTAAAGCTGAGGCTAAAGGCAGCATAGGGCCAAAGGCTGAGCAACGAGATGGGCCGGCCTGAAATGGAAAACTTCCATTTCTGCCTCATGCGTTTAGGTCAAGTTAAATGACTATAAGTGTAATTCCAGTCAGCTACATGAGAGAGGGGCCCTGTCTCTACCCGCCATACCACAGACTGGCGGCAGACGCCAGTCTAACGCACTGAAGACAGGGAGGGGTAACTGTAAGCTTCCTACTGACAACCGTGTTCAGATGGATTCATGGGAAATGTGTAAAGCACTGATCCCTTGCGGGATTGGGGATTGAAACATGACCTGCAGTTTTGTGCGTCACAAGTACATGTAGATGTGGTAGCTAGCCTCAGAAAATAAACAACTAAACAAACTTCTCCAATGTAATCCACTCTCTGCTTCTAATGCCTATCTTCAGTGTCCTGCAAGCCATTTTTAGCTCAAATCTACATGATTATGGAACAAAAAATATTAACGTGAAACGTCACTGAGGCGTCCTGCAAAGAAAAGGAGAGATAAAAAGAAGAGATTCAATTATTAAAAACACCATCTGCCATTTCTGATCTTGGGCATGAAGAGGTGTTGATATGTGTGCTCTAGGGAGGCCAGACATGTCCTTTTTCTGCTTCCTTAACAGTTTTTTTTCTTAATGGAAGCCATCTGTACGAATTTACACAGCGAGTTTTCCATATCGTCTTAAAAAAATTGCCCATCTCTCATCCTACCAGAGGCTAATCTGACATGGTCTGGTGGTCTAGCTACCATGTTTTGGAAAACCAGCTTAGTTATGGGCTCAGACCCTCATCGAGTCTGACGTTTGTCTGTGTTCTCACACAGGGCCTCCAGGGACAGCCTGTGTCCATTTAAAAGTTGAACCGTGGGAGGAAGCAGGGAGATTAGCAGCAGACAGAGTGAGAGAACAAGACAGGCGACTGGAGGACTCTGCTGGCTCTGCCGCTGCTTACTGTATTGCGCTGAGGCTTGCTTTTCTGGGAGTGTGACCCACATTTACACCAATCTCGAACATCAGCCGAGGGGTGTCACAGGGCCCTTAGTGGGTTATCATGCACATCAACTAGCTGCAACATCCTCCCTTTAAAGAATGGCTGTGCACCATGTTTCTTGTAGAAAAAGATTTCAATGGCTGTGGAAAGGTTATGCGGCAGGACGTCTGAATGGTACGTTTATCATGGAAACAAATAGTATTTGCCAGAAAAAATGTAAAATTGGACCAGAGGGGTATAAAAAAGATCTCACTTAAACATAAAAACACCTCTCAAAAGTGACTAAAGCATGCCTTTAACAGAGAACTGTGTAACACTTCAGTTCTCAGCTGTCCACTGAGCACAGCGTTGTGGGGCTGGGTTCAATCTCCGGTCTGCAGCTCTGTGCTGCCCCTTAGTGGTCATCACTGGGTATTACAGCGTTGCGCCCACGTACAGCTTGAACAAAAACTCTAATTCCCAGAAATGACTCACGCTATATTAAAGCTTTCAAAGTAAAACCCAGCACAGGGTAAAAAATATTGACAATACGAACTGGCTGCGAAATTTTTTGACTTTGGCTTTTAAAACCAGATCCGACTCACTCAGCCCGAAATAAAGTCTGACGTTTATAAAAAAAAAAAAAAAAAAAAAAAAATGTAAAAAAAGCGGAAGTGTTTCATTCATCCCACTCTCTCACAAGTGTCTACTCCAGCCCATTCCATCCCATAAGAAAGTGTCGGCTGCGGTGTTCCGGTTCAGAATCGTCCACGAGTCGTCGGAAACACAGAGGATGGGGCTGAAGCCGCTGGTCGTTACCGTCCTGTTAGCAGTGGCTGTCGCCTATTACATCTACCGGCCTCTGCCGGAGGCCATCCGGGAGCCCTGGAAGTTGATGATGCTGGACGCGGTGTTCAGGTCAGCCATGCACCTGGTAAGGGACAGGGCGCATTTTGGTCCATTAGGTTACCACAGAGAGCTGCGTTTTAACGGAGAAGGGTGACTGTCATTCATTTGTACAGATGTGTTGTCTTATACCTTGAGGTTGTGCCTATACCTAGATGAATTGGTCAGTAAGACCAGTTTTTTTTTTACCTGTGCTGTTCAGCATTATGGCAGCAGACCTGAAATCTGAGCACCGTGCTATGCTGAACAAATTTGCTTTGCCAAGGGAAGCTTTGTTGGTGAAAAGCCCCCCTTGACGACTACCCAAAACTGCTTTTTTAAATGAATTTTTGTTACCAAACTTACATTATGGACATTATGTGTCCAATAATGCCGAACCTGACAAAGGGACAGGGAAGAAAGAAGAGCAGTAGAAAGGAGAGAGTTCCTTTTGACAGAAAGAGAAAGACAAAACAAAACCATACTGCTATGTCTATAAAAAAAGAAACTGTTCCTTGTGGACAATCCAGATGGAGAACGTATAGGAGCTCCTGCAAAAGGACACAGGCAAGACAAAAGAAACAAACAAGCATCGAAAGCAACAAAATTGGTAGCAGGGGCATTGGTAAGCTTCTCAGAATTGTGCAACGACTGTACAGGAGCTTAAGGAGGTGTGTGTCTGGGTAACTGACTGTGTGTATGTGTGAAAGAATGAGAAAAGTAGTTGGACCAGTTTTAACGTGGCCCGAAAAGCATGGTGAGGTGCATACGCTGCCTTTAAAACACAGTATACTGGGCAGCACTGATAACCGAAGCGCACTTGGACTTCAACCCTCACTGAACCAACAGGTTTAATCATTTGTGTTGAATTATCTGATGTCCTTGCTTCTGGTCTTCTCTGAGGTACAATAAAAACTAATTCAAGGAGTATGGATTCATTGCAATGTGTCTTTCTTTTTTACAGACCAGATTTTATGAGTAACAGAGAATAGTTCAATGAATCCATGTTCTGAGGTATGCTGTTTTGAGGTTGACCCTCTGTGTAGACCAAAGTGTGACTCTTTGACAGAATAGGAAGCATTTTTTATGTATTATGAAATAAGTTTCAGATAAATGTCAAACTGCAAGAGTGTCTGTGGTAACTGAGGTTTTGAAATGGTAAAACCGTTACAATGAACTCCTCCACTTCACCCTTGCGCCACATTTTGAAAGTGACTCTGTAGATGAAGAGGGAAAACTATCAAATACTTGTTGCATCACACGATAATATACCAATTTTCCCATTCTAATACCCTTAAAGAATCTTAGTGAAATCAGATCATTTTGAAAGTTTCTGAGCTAGTTCAACAGCAGTTCTCAAAACACAGTCATGTCATTAATACTTAATGGAAGACTTGGAAACAAATATTATTCATAGAAAACAAATTATACATTGATTAAAATATATCAACTTTATATATATATATATATATATATATAAAAACACATTTCCAAAAAGTGAGATGACTGCAAAAATGCATGAAGGCTTGGTCTTTCAGAGGAGAAAACCAGGATATGAACTGTAGTGATAAAATTGGTCAAGAACTTCACCATATTTCTAAAGTTGAGCTGTACATAATTTTCGTATTCCTGACCCTCTTTAAATCCTTTTCCTTCCTTCTTGCTCCCTGCTTTTTAAATGTAGCTTCCAAAAGATGCCAAATAACAGTTTGACAGGCAATAAATTGCATTTGTGCACTAACAGGGTCATTCCCAAAGAGCTGATAGTCGTTGCTAGTAAATCTCCACCTCAAGAACACTGCAGAGTGTTCTTGAGGTGGAAGTGACTTTAATAATTCAAATGTTGATTTTGTGCTGTTTTCAATTAAATATAAAGCATGACCCCGCGACCCCATTAGGGAATAAGCGGTTATGATAATGGATGGATGGATGGATATGAAGTATGAGTCTTTTGTACACATTGTGTGTGTAATCATAAATAAGGTCAAAGGTCATGCGGCTAAAGTCCACAATGCAGGTCAGAATAAGTGAGCACTGATCATTGAATTTCCAAATGGCTAATATGAATCATAAAAATGGCTTAATCCGCTGGGAGCCCCTACTGTGGTAAGCTGCTGTGTCCCCTGGCAGCTGGTGCGCAACAGTGTTGAGACAGTCATATGGGGCAAAGGGCAGACACACAAACACACACACACACACACACACAGTCAGTGCATGAGGACAGATATGAGTGGGTAAGATGTCAAACTCCAGCTAAGAGCTTGATACATTTAATCTTCTCCCCAGCAAAAGCTGGGGGAAAGATTGGCCTTAACCAATCGCTTTATGTAACAAATATGTTGTGGTGTCAGAGAGATACAGTGTTCCCTGCCTTTAACGCAGCCTCCACACTTTTCCCCCAGGCCTCTCTGAAATCCTCGCTGGGCCTTGATCATTACATCCCATCAATCAGACAGTCAACGGAAGCTTTTGAAAGTTCCATGAAGGGGTTCTCGAGCTCTGGCGGAGGGTTATTCGCTGGAGTGAAGGTGAGCGACATCACTTTCAGCGGCGTCCCGGTGAGAGTCTATGAGCCCCCAGCCGGAGGAGAGGGCCACCTGAGGAGAGGTGTGATGTTTCTCCACGGTGGTGGCTGGGCTCTCGGCAGCGGCAGTGAGTAAAACCAAACAAAAAGGTTGAGATTTAGTTATCACACCACTTTATTTGAGCCTATTTGAGGGTTTTTCAAAAAGATTTGTAATTTATAAATGGACTATGAATGCAAATCAAAGTTCACAAACATTTTTTTTTAAAACATTCACAAATATTGATAATGGATGGATGGATGGAACATTCACAAATATTTTTTGTGTGCATATCAAACAATTCTTCAGGAAAGGGGACCTACGATACCATCAACCGAATGGTTTCAGATGAGCTCAACACCGTTGTGGTCTCTGTGGAGTAAGTGTGACACCACTTTTACAGCCAACCCTAGTTACAAGTTAACTAGTTACAAGATGCTTAGAACACCTTGTGAAATCTAACGCAATAAATATACACACACACGTATATATGAATCAATAGATGTTTTTAATGAGGTTAAGTAGTGACCCTTTCATTCTCAAAAATAACTGGAAAGTTAACATTTAAGACCTTTGTGTGTTTAGGTATCGTCTGTATCCAGAGGTGCTTTTTCCGGTGCCTTATTTAGACTGCCTTGCTGCTGCCAAACACTTCTTATCTCCAGAAGTTCTGACCAAGTATGCAATCGACCCAGAGCGTGTGGCCGTGACAGGGGACAGCGCTGGAGGCAACTTGGCTGCTGCTGTAGCTCAGGAGGTAAACGCATAAACTATCACCCGTTTCTGTGCGGTTATGGAAAAATTTGAGCTCAGATTCCCGGTGCAAGGCTTTGTGTCTTTTGTTTGTTTCCCAGATATCCTCCGACAACAGCATGACTGTGAAATTCAGCGCCCAGGCTTTGATCTATCCAGTGCTTCAGACTCTGGATTTCAACACTCCTTCCTACTTACAGAACCAACATATGTGCGTCCTCACCAAAGAGTTAATGGTCCAGTTCTGGTTGCAGTACCTCGGTGTTGAACTTTCCCTGCAACCCCAGTTCACCGCTAACAATCACAGTGCCTTACAGCACTCCGCTTTAACCCCAGAGCTGAGGTCACGAGTCGACTGGAGCGCCCTGCTTCCTCAGAGGCACAAGAAGAACTACAGGCCTGTCGCTGTTGAGAGAGGGTTGGATGGGATTCTGAAGAAGGCCCCGGGGCTCCTGGATGTTCGGGCTGCGCCGCTCTTAGCCGGACCAGAGGTGCTGGCTAAATGCCCTCGCACGTACATCCTAACGTGCGAGTATGACGTGTTGCGGGATGACGGGCTGATGTATGCCCGGCGCCTACAGGACGCCGGGGTCTCCGTCACCAACGACCACTACGAGGACGGCTTCCACGGATGCCTCAGCTTCATTGCGTGGCCTTTAGACTTTGATGTGGGGAAGCGGGCAGTCAGGGCTTACATCGACTGGCTTCAGAACAACTTGTAAGAGCTAGTGTGAGTTTGTGCTGAAGAAAAATTGGCTGCATGCAGGTGTATGTTTGTTTTTCACTAATTCAAATGCACTAGCCCTCACTTTTTGAGTAGCGGACTTGCTAAAGGGCCTGTAAATAAGCGGATTTAAAAAGAACGACCAATGCTCAGGGCCTTCATGTGTCTCAATATCCATCCATTTTTCAGCCATAACCAGAAAATGTCGAGGTTTGACAGCAACCTCTGCATTGTAACATTGTGGCCATCCAAACAGTGAGGATCCAGATTAAAATACTAATAGCTTTGACAATCCCTCCAGAGCTGCTGCCGATTAATGCTCCTACCAAAATTCTGTTTAAGAACTGGTTTGAACTGTTTGTCTGTTCTTTTTTTTTTATTATTAAAAGCCGTTTGTTTCACAATGTAAAGGCCTTTGAACCATTTCAGTATATTGTGCAAGTCTGTTGGTAGATCCATTGTATCGATTCTGACTGTTCTCAGTGACAGATTGACTGAAATTACATTTTCCCAGCTATTTTGCTCAGTGGATAAAAATGACCACAACAGCCTCAGTTTTTATCTACAAAATATACACAAGTTATCTGTGTGTCCTTCAGAACAATTTATAGCTACTGTGGCGAAAGTTTCACTTTGTATCTGATGCCAAGGTATCCATTAGGATTATGTTCAAGTATTTGCAACTGAACTGAGCTTTTATACGAGATTGTTATACATTTGCATGCCAACAGACTTCATTCAAATTTGAGGACTGTGTGGATGTAGTATTCTTTTAACTAGAGACAGAACTCTGAGCTTGTTATCGGCAATATTCTCAAAACCACAAATCCTCTATAGCACGGAGGTGCTTTAGTGCCTCTGGAACTGGAAAAACTTAACATCTGGAGAGGCAGTAATGGTGACAGGTACATACTGGTGGGCTTTTTTTCCATCAAAAGCCTTGGAAATATCAGCAAGGCAATTCCACACCACTTACTGCATTGTTACATAGTCCTGATATTCCTGTTGAACTGTTGGGTGCTGAATTTTCTTTATAAACTGAAAACAATTGCTGCATCAGGTAACACTACAAACATAAAGAAGACCCTCAAATAAGCTAAAATCCTACGTAGAAAGGAAATGGAAAAATGTTCCTCTCCAAAAGTCCAGCAACTACTTTTGTGATTTTCAAATCCATTTGAAAGATTCATAGATTAATCAAACATGAACAAAGTGCTGGTGGTCTTCCATGTGAAATCTGGTACAACAGCGTCATCTGTTGGACAGAAAAGGTTTCACTCCACTTTCCAGTGCTCCACTACAGCAACATGAGCAGATAGTATCCAAGCATACTGAAGCAAGTTATGTTCTGCAGAATTGTTGATTTACATTCAGCCTTTGCGGCAATGTATTAACACAACTATCTGATGTTTAATTTTTGGGATTATATCTCTAAGATTGTTCAACTACTAAGGTGTAGAAAAAGCATATTGTAGCACAATCCACCTTTATTTTGGTGAAAACTGAAAGGTTTCCAGATGCCATCTACCTCAGCCTATGAGGTCTATCATTTTCATAGAAAAACAAACATGAAAGTCAAACATCTTAGTTGACCTAATATTAAATTTGACTGCAGGCCACCACATTTGGATACTAAGATTAAGCTAGTGTGACTAAAGTATTTGACTGAAATCCTGGGTTGACGCCTAAAAGGCCATAGTTTCTATGCTTTACATCCACATACAGAAACAATAACAATTATCTCTACGTGTTGTGCTGCATGTTTCAGTGTTAGTGATTCTTTCAGATAAGAGACAATGAGCAGCTGTTGTCTTCAGTTGGGAATTTAGGGAGATTCCATGACTTTACTCAAAGGAACTCGGGGAGGAGAAGCCTAGGGAGGAAAAAGAGGAGTGGAGGGCAGAAGGGGGAGGATGGAACATCCTTTATGTCTTTAGGGTATTCAAATAATCTGCTTCAAGAAAAAGCTGCGTTGGTTTCCAGAAAAGATGCTGCTCTTGCTCTGATTTGTATGTTTTCCCTTGGGCGTCGTAACCAATTTTAAATAAAAAAAAAAGGTTTGGGAAAGAAAAAAAAAAAAGTTTAGTTTTTCTGGTTCCTTTGCATCATAAAAAGATAGATCCTTTTTTAGGGCAAAAAAATCTACTCAAGTCTCAGGCCCGAATCTGGACAGTGAAATCCTTTGTTTTTTTATACATTTGATTCAGCAATGCCACTTTTAACAATAAATTACATTTCAAATGCCGTCAAGTGCCACAGTTGTGGCAGCTTATCTTTACAGAGAGCCAAAGCCAAGTACTGCAGTTATGACAAATATCAGCTGACAAAGGATCATCTTATTTAATTGCAGGTAAGAAGGAGAATTGGCATATTTCCACATTTACCTATTTATCTAAGCTTCCAAATGCCAGAAGATTAAAAATGTTCAAGTAAGTGCAAACCCAATGTTGATGTAAAAGACTGCTGTCACAGATAACTGGATTCTGATGACAGGAAGAAACAACAATAAGTGGAAATAGATTGAAAAAAAATTACTTTTGAATGATCGTCTGCTGAAGAGACAGACACAGGTATGTCTCTCAGGGTGTCATCTTCCACACCTGAGGCCAGATTCTTTTCAAGTATCGCATACCTTTCCCCTTCTCTCCCACAAGGCTGGGAATTGACTCACTTAGGGGAACACAGGAGCCTTTTATCACCTCTTCCTCTGTATTTCAAGATCATAATCAGTAACAGAAATAAACATGTTCCTACAGTTTTATTTCATTTAGAAATTACCCGGCTGTTTCCTAACTGTTTACCCAGCCAGTGGCACACCCTTAAGGCTAGACAGGCCAGGGTTTTTTTTCCTTTTTCTGTTCCAAAATCAAGAGTGAGTGACACTTGAGGTGTTGAACATGTTCCAAAAAATAATTGCTCTCTACCTTACATTCAGTATGGCATTAAGCTCCACAAATGCTACATTCCTTTTTATACTGGATGGCACCTTGAGTTAATGTACAAGGCTTAAAACTATTCAAGAAGTGTTCCAAAGAAAGGAATCCAGGACTTCAAGACTCTGGCGACATTTTCATGGATGTCTTTTGAAGGGCTGCTTACATATTGATGCAAATGTGCTTCATGCTCCCTTTGCTCAAGTTTTGATCTTTGGGTGGACCATCAACATTCAGGAGCTGTGAACTCCTTTAGCTCTACCCTCACTTCCTCTAATGGACAATGGAGCAAGGGTGAGAGGTGAAGGAAGGAAAGGACCGTACTCGCCAATGGTAGAGTTCTACAGACGGGTCCCCTGTGACAAACACCACGCAGGGCTGCCCTGAAGTTGAAACAATTGTGAGCCATTTGGCACTAATTAGCTTGCATTTTTCTCATCAATAGCAGGAAAAGAGAAGATGATGACAATCTACTATCTGTCCCCGCACTGATACCCTAACCTTGAACAGGTCTGGCTTCATGCCAGGCCCAAACCCATCAGTACAATATTGTGAAGCAGCCACTAATGCCAGAAAAACAGATCTCACATCATCATGGAGATCAACCCGCCTGGGAGTGTCCTGTAGAATCTTGATACTATTGTCTTGAATTGGGCTTGCGTTGCTCAAAGGACTGTCACCTATACATGATGCTTTTGAAATGTTGATGGATTTAGTTTGGAGGTAGTTATCTCTCTCACACAGTTAAATGACAACCTGCATTATAGTAATTTAAAAAAAGGATAGAGGTTACAGTTGATTCCAAGATCCTGTGGTTAAATGGCAATAGTTCCAAATTCCCTAAGACCATGCCAATAAATTTAAAGCTTGGAATTATTTGATCTGAGATAGTTTCATTCTACAGTATTTATATTAACCACAAGATTAAACATTTCTAGGAAACATTGACTAGAAGTATTTGATGTTCACTCCCTTCTTTTTGGTTTTACATTTACACGTAAACATTTTGTCACAAATGCAGTCAAATTCAGTCAGAACAACAATTACACACAATTTGAGCATTAGATATATTTTCCTTAAAGTTTAAACCTCTTCCACCGGTTTAAAAAGCAATTTCACCAAAGTTTCCAAAATTCCGACACTCCTTAAAATCAGCCTGAACTTGCAAGAGCAGCGTTATAGCTCCCCATGGCCGTTTCAGCCTAATAACAGTGACATCTTGAGGAGGTTGGGGCCCTTCATACCTCTTTTCTGCTCCACCTACAAACTTGTGCACTGATATACTTCCTCCCTCGCGCTTCACAGCAGCAACGCCGCATTGTTTGGCCGAAACTTGTCCTGCTTGTTGTTGGAAGTGTTTTCTTACCCCTCTTGACTGAAGTGTCTCCATTCGCCGCGTGATATGGCAATTTCAATCTCTGTTCAATGTCTCGGCCTCATTACACTCGCTGCAATCCTCCTTCAGACCATCGCGGTTGCCGTCAGTTTTATATACTTCAACAAGGTTCTGAACACGGTAAGGCACGCTTTTTGTTTGCGTTGTATAATTTCCGAGGTTATAAGTGAAACTTGCTGTTCTGACACATCTCACTAAGACTTTCTGGACGGGGCACGGTTACAAGTGACACGCTTAAAGACAGCTTAAAATATTAGCGTGAACTGGCCTGTTTACCGCAGACCATAAGTTAGTTGTTGTAGACAATAAGTTGGCCGTAGATCGATAAACAAACACAGTGTAATTACATCACTTAGTTCAATTAAATGCACCGCGAATATAACTCCAGAGAATTCCATCAAGGCTAGTGGCGTTGGTCCCTCTGAGCCCTGCGGGGATTTCTGTTTAACGCCGGACAATAAGAAAGGAGAAAGTTGGCCGAGTAGATAACATAAAACAATGGAAGGAAACGAGACTATTGCGCCCTGAATGGGTAGTGACACTCAAAACAACAGATTTCGGGCTGCAAACCGACCACCATACGTGACAAGTGGAGAGCTCCTCTGAGAAGCCTTTGTTACGGTTGACGACACCGGTGCTAAGTCGTTATTGGCTGAGGAAATAAAAACGCCCGCCTCTCATCAATCACACCTGACATCAATTAAGAGTTGATGTCCCACCGTTTATCCTGAGTGATTAAATGGTTTTGTTATTTATAGACTTCATATTAGACATTTTCCAACTGGTACGTTTTTGAAGCCATGAGTAGCCATTTGTAATCAGCCATCTCTGTGTTGGTCTTCTTCGAGTTTTTTTCCCCCTTTTCCACCCACTGCTTCTTATGCCTTGGCAATCTTGTTTAAAAGAGTATGCGTTTCAAATAAATATGTCCTTTTGGTTGCTCTTGCTGTTTGGTTTGGGGCAGTTACATGTGATTTCTTCAGCTTGATACATTTTTCTGTTTTAAATCAGACACATTTGACATGTTTCCTGAATGCAGTGATGAGGGTCACCTTCAAAAAGAAAACATTTGTAATTTCCCCAGGGGAACAGTTTCAGCTATAGTTATCATTTCCTGACAAGAAATCAGCTAGAACTCTGGTGACACATGGCCGTAGGCAGTATTTATCTTTTCTTTAACTGTCACTTGTCTGTCAAGCCTCACTTGAGTACATCTCTGCATGTGTAAAAAGATGAAAGTTGGAGATTTTACCATCAATGAGTTAATACATCTGAGAGGGTAGTGTAATTTTTGCCATTTTTCACATCTGTTTTGAAGCAGCTTTGCAACAATGGCCTAATAGTTTCTATTCTTGTGTAATTTGAGAGATTATTTGTCACTTCACAGTGACCGTTGACAGGACAGGCAATTGGAGCCAACTCACCATTGTTTTCCTTCTTTTTCACAATGTCAGATGCAGGAGAGCTTTTCTCGGAGCAGCGTGTCGTGTCTGATAAATGCAAAGCTGCATTTAGGGTCTGAGGATCCACCAGCTGACGACCAAAGAAAAGACCCCTGTTGGCAGGTCACACAACAGCTCCACTACCACATCGAAAAGGTTTTTCATTTTTCTTTATGTAATCCAGCTTGGCCGTGATTTTTTGGCTGTTATTTTCTCTGTTTTTCTCGTTTTTGTTTGGATATTTTAAGCCACAAGGGACCCAGAGAACAGAGCTTTTTTACAGTATGACCATTTCCACAATGTTGCATAACAATCAGAATTTGATTTATCTATTTTGAAACCATATGCAGTTTCTCTTTGATAAAAATGGGATAGCTCCACATAAACAATAAATTACACTGACTCGTATGAAAAGGAATTCTGCCATGATACTGAGCCCAAAAGATGACTTATTTGTAAACCAGGGTGCTGTTAGGATAATTTAATTCAGGCACTTTGTCTTTTTTGGTTCATCATAAATCAGATTTAGACCCGTTTACTCACAGTCTCTGCCTGCCCCTGTCTATTTTTCTATCAGAAGATTGCTGACAGATTCCAAAAGGAGATGTCCACTGCTGTGAGAAGTAAGAACAATATTATTATCGTCTATCAGTGGGCTTATGAATGGCTCAGCCCTCTAAAAATAACCCACCTGTGATTGGGGTATCCACAGATAAGCTGACCGGAGTGCTGCCTGTACTGCGCCCTGGGGTCCGAGGGGTCCCTCTGCCTAAAGTTGCTGCCCATGTAACTGGTGTTAGCTCATCATTGAAGCTTCCAGCAGCAGAGAGTGAGCATAATTTAATTTAGCTTGTCCAAAATATTAAGCTTAAATGACAGAGTCCTGGACAACATAATGATAATGGACATTGGAAAGGGAGGATTTGCTATGTTTCACTGCACTCACCCCCAGACAATCCTTCCATTTCCAGGGCCATAGGTGAGGAATGTGCTTGAAGGCGTCCTCGGCTGCTGATTCTGTTACCCCCTCATACCGGTGTCTGTCAGGACCTGTAGATGTGCAGCTGCCTTTTTCTCACTCATTTATTTTGGGAAAAGACACAATTATTAATCAGTTTGAAAATCAATGCATACGCAAAAGCAAAAAAAAAAAGGAACACCTGTGGCTTTTTCACAGAGCAACAACACTTTGAGGAAATAGGAGGACTGAAGAAACCCACCATGTTAAGATTAGCAGAACACATAAATGTACCTGTTCCGATCATTTCATGTACAATGTGTTCTCACACAGCAAGCTATTTACTAATAGAAAGCACGCAATGAATGCATAGCTGAGTTTTGGCAGCTGCTGTTCTTTGGGAAAATCTGTCAACACTATTTACGGGTCTGAACATTTGTTTCTTGCTCGAGACTGTGCTTAACACTGTACCATGCAGTTCCAAAGGCCCAGCATCGCAGCCAATGACCGCATGTGTGTGTGTGTGTGTGTTGCAGGCTCGCCAAGCAGCAAGGGTTATTTAGGGGAGCGCATCAGAGAGTGGGACGGCCAGAGAGGCCTGTCCTTTCTGGAGAACATGGAGCTGAGGGGGGGTGAGCTGCTGGTGCCCAGAGCAGGCCTCTACTACATCTACGCACAGACATACTTCAGACTTTACTCCACAGAGGAGGCAGAAGGGGAACCACAGGAAGAGGAGGGCACAGAGCTCGTCCAGTACATCTACAAAAAGGTTAGGCGTGCTTAGCCATTTCATTCTAAAAACTGGGACTTTGTCAGGTGGTCCATTGCAGTGAGCACAGATTAGGGATCATTTTCACTCACACACAAAGCTAAGCCTTCAATGTGAACAGTGTCTAACTTGCCACTTTTTGTATGAAGTAGAATTAAACTGTATCAAGACAGTTACATTTTATTACCATTATGGCAAACAAGAAACAGAATGTGAAATCCCAAACCAAAGAAAAGCTTCCCCAAATGAGCTTTGTTGTGTGGAGTAAAAACAAGAAATAACGTGATTAGTTGCAGATGACATCTGCATAATGGAATGCTCATGTTGCAATGCTGTTCTGCTATTTTCTTCTTATTTTTGCGGTGTGACCCACAGATGAGTTCCTACACAGGCCCCATATTGCTGATGAAATCATTTCAGAGTGCCTGCTGGCCCCGGGGCCCCGAGCCTGGTGTCTTCTCACTGCACCAAGCAGGTACCGCCTTCCTACAGCCCGATGACCGCCTCTTCATCACTGTCAGCAACGCCACCGCCATGGAGATGGATGGGAGCGCAAGCTACTTTGGGGCTTTCCTGATTGGCTAGGAAGAGATTTAAAGGACTGAAACTAAAACAGGCAGAAGAAAGGCCCCCATGTTGGGGGTCGACTTTATTGAAACTGGTGGCTGTCTGAAGCTATGAAGCTGGAAGACGAGGACTTCTGGGTCAGTGAGGCTGAAGGGCTGTGGTCAAACCAAGCTGCTGTGGAATACTTTCAGGCCCAGAGGACCCAGATGGAAGAACCATTCATCTGATGTGCATTTACTCCAGCACTGACCTGTGGCACAGGCTGGCAGACAGAATGTACTTTCTGCCAACAAATATGGATTATTTGTTGTTTTTGGAGCGGGACAATGGCTTCAGACCAAATATTGTAAATGCCCTCTATTGAGAGCAGTCATACGTTTTGTCTGTGTGTGCAACAAACAACAGTTGTGTTGTCTTTCCCAGGCAGTGACATTGGTGCTGGACACGATACATGTCACAAAAATGTGAATTAAAACATGCTAGAAGACAAATTGTCAAATGTTAAACAGAGTAAATTAATCTAACAGTGAATCACAGTTAAATATTGTCATTGTGGAAGGTCTGGAATGAATGTGGAGTGAGATAGTCATGTTTTTGGAAAGCCAAAAATCACCTCTGCACACAGAAATACACCAAGCTGAAAAAGTAAAAAACTATCATTTAATTCATGTTGTGTTACATGTCTCCATTAATGTGGCAGTGAATCTTTCAGCAATATTTGTCACTCCTCAAATATGAGTTTTTAACATTTACAAAAAAAAACAAAATAAAAAACTAATCAGGGTTCAAGTAATGCCCAAAAGAAATACATTTTGAAACATGTACACACACACACACAAACACAGGAGGACAGGTGGCATCTGCAGACCGTGCTGTGATCCACCTGCTACTTCCTGTCTATGAGGGGAGGATCAAAGTGTTTGTGTGGTAAACCAAAGTCCTCTCTCTCCTTTTAGCCTGTTTTTGGTCGCCGTGACATGACTGACAAACATATTGTAGTTACAGCCGAGACAGTAAACACAAACACAGAAAGCGCACAGCCTCGCGGATTACAACAAGGGCTTAATTGTGGTTTCAAAACAAAGAGACAGTTACTGAATCTGAAACACCGTATCAAAAATAATCTCTGGAGTTGGTCTCTGATCAATCGGGACACTAAAACTGTTGGAGAGAGGTGGAAACATCTTTCGTCTCATTTCTGACAACCTATGGCTTCAGTTCATCTATACAGTCATGTACAATCTGGAAAAACATAAAGGTGTTGTTTCTTTTAAGACAAGTCAGCTATAGTGTGAAATGGCAATACTGTAAACAACTGTGTTCAGAGGAGCAGGAAGGCTCCCTGTTAGTGCTCCTATTGCTATGGTAATCAGGAAGGGTTTTAGTTGTAATTTAGGCAATCAATCAAACTAAGTGCTTGGTACCCAACACCCGTCTCCCCCGCTGACATTATGGTTGATCTCAGCAGACACACACATGCACGCACCCGTGGAGCCAGCCAAGTGCCTTGACATTATCTCGCTGCACATAGATCGCCTGCATTGGTCGAGTTCTTTAAGACAAATTCAGACACGCTGACAGTACTTGGACTGAGTGAACTAACAAGACGGGAGAAGAAAACAAAAGGCATTCCGTTTTTTTTGTGTTTTTGTTTAGACAGATGATCTCTACAAGATTAGTCAGACGACTCATTCACAATTAAGCAGTGAGCACATACAGGGTTAGTAAGAGCTGTCCTGTTACCGATAAAGCATTCCTTATGCACGCTTGGAAGTAATACTCAAACTGGGAAAATGTTGCCACCTTGATATGATGATGCCGTAGTTTAGGACAATATGCACTAAATGTGGGAAAAAAATGTTTGCGTGCGCGCACAAACAAAACCTGGTATGGGTTTCTATTGCCTCTTACAGTATGTCTGTGATCTACAAAGAAAAAAGCACCTCTGACATACGAAACATCCTTGGAACACAGTATAAGTGTTGAACTACAGACAGGCAACAATACACACAGCGCACAGGCACGATACAGGAGGCTTTGGCACACCCATGCTAGTCTTACTACTCAGCATTTACCAACACAGAAGAAGAGCAGGTTACAAAACTGGACAGACCCATAGCTGCCTTGAATTGCCACCCCAGAGGAGGGGAGGTAAAGGTTGTCTGGAAAAACAAAACAAAACAAATAATAATCAGCCATCACATTCAATCAGCACCAAGCTGTCTATTTTTGGAGTTCCAGCCTCTCATCCAATCAGCAGCTCCAGGCTGTCGTCATAGTTGGGATCTTGTGGGGGGCTGGGGGACAAGAAAGCCGTGGTTACGGGCGTCCCCGTTGCTGTGGCGACGTTGAGGAGAGTGTTAGCCCGGATGCTGGTGGTTGCCGGGTTACGGAGAGCAGCAGCCGCTGTGATACTGGTCAGATTGATGCCAAGAGTGAGCCGTGTCTGTTCTAAGGCCTTCTCTGGCACAGCGAAGGCCTCAAGCTTCTTTTCCCCGTTGGCCATGTAGGAGTTCTGGCAACCTCGACAGATACAGTCCAAACATGCCTGAAAAAGATGAAAAAAAAAAGGCAAATTCAACATGTCTGTGTTCTTAAAGCACTCACTTTCCTTCCAAAGGTTTAGCTGAGCAAAAATAGACTCTACCTTTCCCATAAAAACATACAAGCATAGGACAATTTAAGAGTACAGAGTGATGATTAAACAGACATACTTTCTTAGCAGTTAGAGAATACTGAAAAATCAGTATATTTTAATTATTCAATAAATTTTTTTTAAAAAACTTCCTCTGAATAACCAGTCTCACCTTGCGGTTTGAATAACAAGGACAACGCTGCCCCCTGCAGGTCAACACAGATGGGTTCTGAGTGGCTCTCCCACATTTACAGCCCTTCTTCTCCACTGGTTTTTTATACGGAGGTCGGACAGGTGCTGCGGGCACCGGGCAGCCGGACACCGGCCGCTGGTCTTTGCTTCTGTCCTTGGTCTTGGAGCCTCCGCCGCTGCGGGCTTTGGCGTGGGGCTTCTTAGGGTTCTGGTCCACGTGCTTCTTTGCCCCTTTATTGTGGTTCTGTGCAGGGCGGTTGGGCTTGGGCAGTGCCCCATTCGGAAGTGATGAGTACGTGTGTGCTGGTACAGTTAGGGAAGGTGTGGGTAATTTCGTATGCAGGGTGTGAGAGGGGTTTGGAGTGTGTGAATTTGAGGAGGAGCCCTGGAGGATAGAGGTGATGGGGAGAGGTTTCACCTTTTCCCTGTCACTCTCTGATCGAGATCGCTTGCGGTTAAGGCGGACTGGCAGGGGCTTGGAGGTTGGAGGAGGATCATAGGAGGATGTGTGTAGGTTAGTCCTGCCGGTTTGGATCTGAGTGTAGTTGTGGGCTGCATCCAAATGTATGTACATTTGAGTGTGTGCTCTGTCCGTGGCTATGTGTGTGTGAGAATGTGTCCTTTCTGGGAGCATATGAAGAGAGTCTCGACCTGGCTGAAGGGGATCCAAAGTCTGCAACACCTCCTCTACACTGAGGAGCAACACTTCCCCCTCCTCCAACTCCCTGCTACTAGATTCCCCATCCCTGAGTGAGCACACGGTGCCTGGTGTTGGGGCTAAACGTCCAGTGGTCAGACTCAGCTCCAAACCCCCACAAGCAGTATCTGATACAGAAAGGTCTGTAGGTTGCTGCTCCTCTATAAGCTCACATACTTCCAGCTCCGGGGAAGAGGGATCAAGATCCTCAAACGTTTCTCCGTTGCATTCCTGTGGTCCATTGAAACAGGGAGGGTCAGAGGAGGAGCTCTGGGGAACAGCTGAGAGCTCCGCAGGAGCAGGTGGTGCCTCTGTGGGGGTTAGGGACTCAGGAGCAGACAGATTCACATCCTCTTGTGCTCGACAAGGGTCCTCCGTCTCTGTATCCTCTTTGTGTGACATTAGCACCTCCTCTAGCAAGGCCATAACCTCTGTGGACCCTCCCACGTGGCTGCTGATTGACTGCAGCAAAGGTGAATGAATTACGTAGAGGCAGAGCCTCCTGTAACACTTCACAAGTAAAGAGAGTTGCTTGTTCTCCTTGAAGCAGGTATAGTCCTTACAGCGGCTGCATGATGGCCTCATCTGCATCTTCTGGCCTTTACAGCCCAAGCACACATTATGCTGACACTCTGGGTGTGTTGAGGAAATTGGATCCTGGAGCAATTTACCTGAGAAAAAACAAACGTTTATTGTATTTTCAGGTTTTTGTTAATACCATTAAATATGTATGATATGAACTGCCGAGACATGCAAGTTATTGTGTGAAAATATACTTTTAGTTATGTTCCATGTTAAATGCTTTCATTTAGGAAAATAATCTTCCAGTTCAGTAGGTTTAGATCAGTAATTGCTAAAATGTGACAAATCCATGCTTCCCTGGCTAAAAAAACTACAGACTTTCATTAAATCAAACAACATAACTGGAAATATAATTCAGAAATGTGGTGTCACTGTCCGACTCTCTGTCTACTAACAAAAGCTGTGTCATTCGATATTCCATTGGCTATGCAGTGGGAGTAAATAAAGCGTAAATAGGAACCGCATGGCTCTGCAGCAAGCATAACAACAAAGGAGTCATCTGTCTTGTCAAGAAGACAGATGACTTGGGTTCAGGCTCGGTTGCCAAGGAAACCACTGTAGTGAGCGCGAGAAATGGTGTAAACTGCTGAAGGCAGACTAACGCCCACAGATACATCAATTAAAAATTGATATTATGAGCATCAAAAAGACAACCAGTTATTTAAAACAAAGCCATTCATAAAAGGAAATGTGAAAACAACGCAGTCATGCGACCATGCAAAACACTAAGTTTATGTAGGTTTGTTGATTTTAAGGATACTCACCGCAGACTAGACATGCAAGAGACTGTCGGAAGAAGGGCAGAAGCGTGTACATATCTGAGAAGGTGTGAGGCTGCCGCGGGTCGCACTGCAGCACGGCCCGGCTGACAGATACATACAGAGCGGTTGCATTAACAGGATTCATAGCGGAGCTCTATCCAGCCAGTCCGGGGGATATATATGTAGCCGCTCACGGCGACAGGTTACAGTCCACTTTTACGTTGATGGGGGAACTATAAGTGCCCCCGTTGTGTTCTATTAAAATAGTCCAGTATGTCAACACAGGCTGGAATAGGAATTAATTATAGAAACATCAGACAACGAACACGGTGAAGCGGTATCACCCTACGCGCACGTTAGCTCAGCAGGTGGCTAGCTTGAGTTAGCATCACCAGTCCGTAGTCGTCGTTTTTTATTGAGAAGTATTTCCATCTCACAATTTAATGGTTGTCCGAGTCCGCACAGCCAACCCCTAAGCTATACTCGAACACGTCCCTAATGCAACACGTGAGATAACGTTGAATAAGACGATCAAAAGACCCATGATCAAAAGGTTAGCATATTGTAGCTAACATTAGCTTAATACATTAACCAAACGATTCACATGTATGGTCGAGAATAGTCACAGAATTCAGTCACTATCCTATATTGACTCATCGTCGACGATCAACTGAATGTCGAGCAGCTGCTAACAGCAGAAATTAATTTGGTTTGAAATTAGTCAGAGGATCTTCTCAGGCGCGCACTTGATGTAAACAAAGCTAACCAGCTAGCGTTAGCTTGGCTAGCCAAATTAGCTAGCGAGGATTCAACCGTGTCTCTAACCCCCTTGGGCCACACTATACCTCACACAGGCATGCAAAATGCAAGCTGTAACCCAAAATCCCCATATTTTGGTCCGTCTTGCAAAAATATCTGGTGAGCGTTGACCGAAACATAGCTAACTTGCCGTTTTACAAGTGCATCAATCATTCGATTTTCCACTTTTCCTCGTCAACCTCTCTCGGCAAGCATGGTCATCGCGCGAGACTTGCATTAGTTACCCTGGTTACCGACGTGTTCGAAAGTCTCACGTTGGGCTATCCCGTTAAGTCCTGCACTTCCTCTTATTATCATACACTACTTTTTTACTGTCCAAAACTAGTTTTAAAAAATCCCTATACAGATATAACAAAATTGTTCATCTGAAAACAAACCCAAACAATAAATACGTGAATAAAATTACAGTGGCATTTCAATTGTGAAAGTGAAAATGACGAAATGGTTTAAATGTAATGTATTAAATAAAGGTAACCATACATAAATAAGTTAGTCTAAGTCTAACAAAGCCCACATAAAGAATCTTCATTAATAAAGGTCCCTCAGGTTTTGAGACATTACTCTTTCTTCCTCTAAGCTACGGTCTGTAATTTAGTTTTTCTGTGTTTACCTATTATCTAAATAATTATATTTTATCTTAATCTTTTATGCCTTATTATGAGACTACATTCAAGTACACTTGACAAACAGAATTCAGGTCAACAAATTCCCAGATGCCATGAAAACCAGAAGTCCCGCCCATCAAAAAAAGCAACCTTTTCCTTCTTTCTTATTGGCTGTGAAAACTCGCCCCCTATATGCTATTGGTTCAAATCGTTGGCTTATGTTCCTACCTTGCTGTCAGTCCAGAACACGCGAATCCATGATGGCGGCCCTCTGTATAGCTCGTAGCAGCCGCGGAATGATAAATGGGTTGAGGGTCTCTCTCAGGAGTTTACCGCAAGTAAAATATGGCGCAGCGTGCGTACCAATGGCCCGGACAAATCTCCCATGGGACTGTCGCTGGTACTCCGTCAGCCATATGTCCGTTAAGGAGAGGATTGAAAAGAAACGGAAGGCGGCGCTAGTCGGGGGAGGTCAGAAGAGAATAGATGCACAACATAAAAGGGTAAAGCCGTCCACCCTTCAACTAAGCATAGCTTTTTACTATAACTTGGCAAATTTGATTTGCTAATTTTTACTTTTTCTATGCATTCTTAGTTGAACTGGTTGTAGCTATCTAAAACAGGCTCAAGGGCTCAGACACAGTGGACTTTGTTGTTTTGCGACAGAGGTGCTTGTTCTCCACACAGACGTGTTTACGGCTGTCAAACACATCTTTCAAACTTTGCATAGGTTAACTGTTAATGAGTTTTGCTCAAGTTTTATCTTGTATAAATCAAACTTCCTGATTGTTCGTGCCCTTGAGCAAGTTACGACTCTGCCTAATTAAATAATTTGTTATTTCTTAACATAATCTAGTTGCACTATCAAGCTTGTAGTACTACTAGAAATGCAAATGGATTCACTTCTTAATTCCCTTCAGCATTCTTTTTTTCACCCTTTAAGTTTTGATGTGATAATTTGACAACCATGTTTCCAAATGAAGACAGTGGGTGAATACAGCACACATGGATGTAGGATTTACTGATAAATGCTATTTTTCCTTTTACAATTCACCTGCTGGATAAAGACAGTAGACAGTGATTTTATCAATAAAAATTCAAAGATGGGTGGTGTGTCGTAGGGGAAGCTGACTGCCAGGGAGCGAGTGGAGCTCCTTCTGGACCCTGAATCCTTCATGGAGACCGACATGTTTGTGGAGCACCGCTGCTCTGACTTTGGCATGGAACAGGACAGCAACAAGGTAAGGGGGCCCGCCAACGGCGTCCCTTCTGTGCAGCAGAAATGAGGAAGAACTTGTATATTTATTTATAATCTGGTGTTTTTCTGGCTTAGTTTCCAGGTGACAGCGTTGTGACGGGCAGAGGCAGGATCAACGGCAGGCTGGTCTACGTGTTCAGCCAGGTACTGCGAGCCGCTGCCGCTCAGAAAACTGACCTATGCAGGGCCAACAGAGACAACCCTGATCTCACGCAATGTCACGCTTGTCCTCTCCTCTCCACTTTTATCAGGACTTTACAGTGTTTGGGGGCAGCTTGTCTGGAGCACATGCGCAGAAAATCTGTAAGGTAAGCAGATATTGTAAATATCATTGTGATATCAATGACAATCTCATTGTGAGAACTCTCTTTCTTCTTGGTTCATCGTTTCTGCCGTGTTTCCAGATCATGGATCAGGCCATGACCGTTGGGGCCCCTGTGATCGGACTGAATGACTCCGGAGGAGCTCGAATCCAAGAGGGTGTGGAGTCCCTGGCTGGATACGCCGATATATTCCTGGTATGTTTATTTTTTTCTCTTTTTTCCCTTTTTGAAGAATCTTTCACATTTATCAAGTCTCACAACTGGGTGATCAGCACCCTGCGCCTTGTGTTTTTTGGGGAGTTAACGTTTCCTGCTGTTTCACATTAAGCATGAAATCCTCATTTGGTACGGGCGCATCACACTACTTTTTCTGCCAATGAGAACAATATATTTTCATTTTGCAGAGGAATGTGTTGGCCTCAGGAGTCATCCCTCAGATCTCCCTCATCATGGGTCCCTGTGCAGGAGGTGCCGTCTACTCTCCCGCCCTGACAGACTTCACCTTCATGGTTAAGGTGCTCGGTGCCGTCAACTATCGCTGTCAGATTTGGTCGAAAGAGGAGCTTCAGTATTTCCAAACTGGCCGCATGACATTCTTCTCAAGTTAAAAAGCGAGCATTTTCCTTTCATAGGACACGTCGTACCTGTTCATCACTGGACCAGATGTTGTGAAGTCAGTCACCAACGAAGATGTGACTCAAGAGGAGCTTGGTGGAGCCAAAACTCACACCACAGTGTCTGGTCAGAACATTTGAGTTATTTGGACGTTCAAAAGTAATACAGATGCACATCTGTAGCAGCCTGCTCTATTCAAAAGTGTCACTGTCATATTACCGAATGTGTAATATCTATGGAAGAAGAAATAGGATTACCCACCAGTTATATCATGTAAAGAAAACAGTTTAAATAATATTGGCTTTTCCCCCTGCTTGTTCTCAGGTGTAGCCCACTGTGCTTTTGAGAATGACGTTGAGGCTTTGCTCAACCTGCGGGAATTCTTCAACTTCCTGCCGCTGAGCAATCAGGACCCAGCTCCCATCAGGGAGTGCCATGACCCCAGGTAGCCATCGTCGGCTTCACTAACGCAGCCTGATGCCATCACAGAATCTTCCTTTAGCTTTGCGCTTATAACGAGGCATTTCCACTGCTCCTCGCCACAGTGGGAGCACTGATTTGTCAACAAACAGACCTTAACATATTGTACATATGTCGGCCATCCCTACTTTTTTCAAACATGTTTTTTTCTTTTAATTTTAAATGTTCCTTTCAGCGACCGTCTGGTGAAGTCGCTGGACACCATTGTCCCCTTTGAGTCAACAAAAGCCTACGACATGCTGGACATCATTCACGCAGTATGCGCACACACATAAAAAATCAACATAAACAAAACTGCTTTTCGGCAAGAACTAAAAGGCCGCTTCGCTCGTTTGTTCAGATAGTGGACGAGAAGGACTTCTTTGAGATCATGCCCACCTACGCCAAAAACATAGTGGTGGGATTTGCCAGAATGAATGGGCGCACCGTGGGCATCGTGGGGAATCAGCCCAAAGTGGCCTCTGGTCAGTAAGAAGAGCAACGATACCGGATTTGAATCTGGCTGGTCAGTCCATGCTAAACACGTCTCCTTCGCCAGGTTGTCTGGACATCAACTCCTCGGTAAAGGGAGCCCGCTTTGTGCGCTTCTGTGACGCCTTCAACATTCCCATCATCACCTTCGTGGATGTGCCGGGCTTCCTGCCAGGTACTTGTTGAACACACGGGCGTTGGTGTGCTCCAGCTGAACTTGCTGGTGTCGAGCATTGCAGCTGTGTGACATCATAGTTATAAACGGGTCGGTTTCGGGGCAGCCACTTTTAACAGCCAGACCCTGGTTCTGAACAGGCACTGCCCAGGAGTACGGAGGCATCATCAGGCACGGGGCCAAGCTGCTGTACGCCTACGCAGAAGCCACAGTACCAAAAATAACAGTTATCACCAGAAAGGTGGGTCAGCAGACTGGTGAAAAACTGGAGCCTCACCGCTTCCTGCTGCTGAAGGCTCGATAGCGCTCTGTGTTTCTGCCCCCGTGTCCCAGGCCTACGGAGGAGCCTATGATGTCATGAGCTCCAAACACCTGAGGGGAGATGTGAACTACGCCTGGCCAACGGCTGAGGTCGCCGTCATGGGCGCCAAGGTATGAACACACCAATCCCACCGTCTGCGTGTCCATCCGTGTGTCTTTCCCCCTTTCGGTTCAACAGTGTGCACTACTTTCCCCTTCCCTCTTCCACAGGGCGCCGTCCAGATTATTTTCAGAGGGAAGGCAAACCAGGCAGAAGCCGAGGCCGAGTATGTGGAGAAGTTTGCCAACCCCTTCCCTGCAGCTGTCAGAGGTAAATCTGCTTTCTGCTAAACAGGAATGTTCCATAACTCCATTCCTCATCCCCGGTTTGTTTGGGTTTTTTTTAGTTTACGCTTAAACTTCATCCACCTCTGTCTGAACCGCGCTCTTTTCAGGTTTTGTTGACGACATCATCGAGCCGGCGACCACTCGTAAGAAGATCTGCAGCGACCTGGAGGTGCTCGCCAGCAAAAAGCAGGTCAACCCCTGGAAGAAGCACGCCAACATTCCTCTATGAGCCACATCCAGGCGGCACAAAAACCGCTGCGGAAAGGCGCCCGCTGGTCTCGACACACACAAACGAACGGCAGGGCCCCACCGGGCAGATGTCGGTCATCCCCGTCTCTCCTCCCAGTTTACCACTCCACTGAGGTTAAGATCCATTTCAAAACAACATCTGGATGAACTGAGCTAAATAACTGTAGACCAGTACAGTTTAAATGCATCGCCAGGTCAGCCGTGCCCATATTGGTCACTACAGTTAATTCTTCACAAATTTGCCTACACATGCCTCCTAAAAACAGTCAGTTTGGTAGTTTATCAGACACATTTTGTGTCCCTTTCTTCCACATAGTGTTTCTAGAGGTACAGTATTTAGTTTGTTTTTTTGTGATCCTTATGAATGCATTTGGTATGTCTGTCCTTCATTTATGTATTGGGAAAGAAAACATTCTCTACAACCTGGAAATGTGCCTTTTGGAAATGAGCCTCTGCTCAAATAATCACTGTAAAATAAATCACTCTTACTGGTGGAATTGTTCTTATTTTTAGTCAGCGCAGTTTTGAAGAGATTTGACAACTATGTTACCCCACAAATTTGATTTTTAATAAAAAATAAAAGGTTCTGGCTCCTTTTGAGGCTAATCTACAATCCTTTCCTAACAGCTTGGACACTGGGACGGAGACACGTGATGCTGTGGTGCAAACCGCCGCACCCACCTGCATCCTTAGGTATTCAGCCAGAAGTCTGTAAACTGATTACAGATTTTATTTTATTGAAAAAGAATAAGTTCACAGAAAAGGAGAAAAAACAAAACAACAAATTTATGAGAATATTTAGGGAAACTGATGTCAACTGCACTGCAGAAAAAATCCAATTGTCTCTGATATTTACAGGACTGCCATCCAGCCAATGAAAAAAAAAAAAGTTGGAAATGATTGGTTACCCAGAGGGAGGGCGAATGAAAAGTATGGCTGAGAACATTCAAAACACATTCAAACACATCTGTCAGACATAAAGATCCATCACTGCACTGGATATGAACAAAGACAACAACTCTGTAACTGCCTCTGGGTCTCGTAACACTGTTTGCAGGTGCAACAATGGAAGCCGCTCGTTTTGACCTGTGAGATGAGCAAAGTGCACAGATATTCCGCTGCATTCCTAAAGTGAGAGACGGTCGGATCACACGGCACCCAAAAGCCGGTGTCCTTGGTAACGGTCCGATATGACCTATAGGGGATGTGGGTAGGGGATGGAATATACTTTTAAGTATGTAGGCCACAATTTGGCAACAAACAAGATACATAGTCAAGAAAAAAAAAAAAAAAAACTGGAAAAAAAAACTGTACAAACATCAGACAAAAGCAAGGTCACACTTGATTTAAAACTTTAGTACTAAAGCTACAGGATTGAAAATATGTTTGTCTTTTTTAAAACTTTTTTTTCGTTTTGTTTTTTTCCTTTAAAAAGCCGTTACTCAGCGCGTGTGTGTGCGAAAAAGAGAGAGCGAGGGTTGGGGATTCTGTCCAGGATTCTGATGGAAACTAGGCTCTCTTCGCCTTGACATCACACCGGACACAAGAGGAAGCGATGGGACACGGGTGAGGTCACTTCCCTCGGGCGGGCCGACGGCTTCTGTCATCACCACCGACACTTGACGCGCAAATCACACACCACGTACAGGAGATGGCGAACAAAGAGAGGAGAGGGGGCCAGCGGAGATATCGAACATTTAGCACTGACGGCCTCTCTTTGTTGGATTTAACCGAAAGGACTGAAGTGCAACACCAAAGAGGGCTGGGGCGGGGTGGGGGGGGCTGTACAGAGTGTCGCGCTGCTCAGGGGCTCTGAGGCAAAAAGCTGGACGTCTGTGTGACAGGGGGCTGTAGAAACCGAGAGAGCTCAACGGGCCGGCTGCCGCCACTAACGGGAGCTGCACCGACGCGCTGAGGACAAAGAGGAGCAAGAACAGGAGCAGGACCAAAGCTCTGGAGTGGATCCTTGCCTGTGGGGGAGATCCAGCCGAGCCAGGCAGATCCGCTTCACAGGCACCCTCCCATCAAGTCTTGGAGGAAAAGAGAAGTGCTCCCATGTTCTGTATTCTTCTTTTTAAGAGTTTGATTGGCAGGTGATACGGGTTAGGCATCTCAAAACAGCCCCTCCTCAGAGCTGAGGTTTCCTCTGTCTAGATTAGAACATCGGCATGGTGAAACCCTGATAAGAGAGAGCGGGGGAAAAAAAGTATCAGTATTCAGCAGCTACACTTGATAGCTTTCAAATCTAATCTTTTCTCATTTTGCGACATGAGTCAAAGTATGCGTCAAAAGAGTCTAAAACAACGTGTAATCTTACAACCTCCCAGTGGTGTGGGGGAAAAAAAAAAAATGAATCCAGGCCACACGTACCGATTCATCCTCGATCATCGCTGCAGAGTCGAAGAAGTCTGGTCTTAACTCCGCTCTTTCACGTCTGTTCCTTGATGGTGGCTGAGAAGGTGAAACAAAAGAGTGATGCTTCAGCAAAGAAACGACTCTCCTACCGTGATTTCCGCGTGAGCCGGCATCACTGACCAGGTCGATCACCATGGTGTCTTCAAACTCCTCGTTCATGTCTTCTAGCTGGCCTCGCGACGACATCATCACGTCCTCAAAGATGGGCTCTGCGTCGTCCTCCATCAGCCCGCGCCTGAGGGGGGAAATTCCCATCAAACAAGGTCCACTTGGGTTTGGTTCGGTTCTGTTCTGGGACTGTGTCTGCGGCACACCTGCTGCCGATTCTCAAAGCTCAATGCTCAAAACACTTACACAGTCTGTCGGACGCCCTGATTGCTGCGTGATTTGATGTAGTTCATGCCTGTCCGGTCCTTTCTGTTCACCTCCTCCATCTTCTGCTGGCCCAGCCAGGACATCTGCATCTGAGGACTGGAGACAAAAGCAACAGTGAGGCCATCAGTGTGAACCACGCTGCTGGCTGGTGTGGACCGTGAAGGCGCACACGCACTTGTGGACGAAGTCATTCTCCGATCCCGGCTCCGAGTCCGGGTCCGGCATGTGTTCCGCTGGCCTGTTCTCTCTGAGGACCGTCGAGGTAAGCTGAGGGGTCTGGAGGGCCCCCGGCGTCTGTAAGGTGTCATTTCGCATCATCCATGAGCCCTCCACGCTGCTCTCCTCTGCAAACACACACGCACGGGTTAGAAGCTCCTTCAGAGCCCGTTCTCGGCGCTCCGGCGGGGTCGGCGCAGGCGAAGCCGGCCAAACTCAAGCAAGCTCACCCTCGATGCGCTTCTTGTGCAGCGGCGGCCGGCCCTTCTTGCTGCGGACCGAGCCGGTCTTGCTGCTGGAGCCCGACGTGACCGACATGTGGTCCTCGTCCCCTCCCGTCAGCAGGCTGTTCCGGTAGGAGATCAGCGGCAGCCACACGTCCTCCCGACGCTCCGACATGGACTCCGACATGAACTTCTCCAGATACGAGTGTCTGAGGGAAACGCCCGGCATTTTAGAACAACGGAGTGATTTTCAGGGACACCAATTTAAGCGGAGCCAAAGAAAAATAAGACCTACACTGTCTTTTTGTCTTGACGAATCAATTTGGAGGAGAATTCACTCAGGACCTCCAGGAAGGCCAGGTTGACGGGAGGAAACTCTGGTCCTCGAGGATTCTGGTACTTGAAAGCAAACTCTATCCCATCTCTGACACAACAGAAGAGGAGAAAAAAACACACACACACACAAAAGAAAAAAATTTAGTTTGGTTAAAACATAGAAGTCCAGTAAAAAATTAAATCCTAAAAAATACATTTAAAAAAAGAGAGCGATAGCGTGGCACTGACTTGTGCAGCGTTGCCACGGCCTCCCTGGTCTTGATCTGGTCCAGGCCGAAGGTGAGGGCGAAGCGGCGGGCGAGCTCCTTGATGCCGCTGACGTGAGACGATGTCCGGTCCAGGTTGGGGCCCTGGTCCTGCAGCAGCTCGTTGAACAGCTACAACAAAACGCACGCAGCGGAGGATTGAAGCGTTTGTCCGAGGGACTCAGGACGGAACAGGACGAAAGGCGCTCTGCGTGTCTCCTCACCTGCTGCAGGCTGAGGATGAGCGTCTTGGCACACAGAATCTTGTCCGTCTGCCTGGTTTTGCTGAGGGTCTCCTTGATGATGTCGCCATAGTCATTGTAGTACTGGGGCAGAAAAAGGAAACGGCTGTAAGCGCGAAAGTTGGAACGACTTCCTGCGCTGAAATCTGTTTCAAGGCCTGGTGCGCGCTCATCAAGAGCCACATTTTAGACTTCGCTCCCTTCCGTGTCCCCAGTGGGCCTTGACGCACCTTCATGTAGTGTTTGAAGATGTCAGCAGCGGCAGGCATATCCACGATGTCGTAGATTATGAGTTTGCAGAAAGCCGCCAGCAGGTTTCTCCTCTTGTGGAGCGCCTCGATCTTGTTGGCCTCGTCTTCCTCGTCTCCCTCTGGGGTTTGCGAGGGTGGGGAAACGAGCGAGATCCTCAAGTTTACGCCCAAAAAATGCAACTCTTCCCCTTAAAGGTTTTGGAACATTGCAACACCGCTTCAACACGTGCGGGAGCACAGGGAACACGCCTCACCCATGCTCTGGCTCTCGTCGTCCTGGTCGATGAAGACGTGGTCCAGGACGAAGTTGAGCAGCTCGCTTTGCAGAGTGCTGTCCGGGTTGAAGACCAGCGGCTGGAGGCCCTCCCTCCCCCCGGAGATGAGCTGGTGGCTGAAGATCATCAGCAGGTCGCAGAGGAGCATGAACGCCTGAGTGAGGGGCACAGAGGTGAGGCGCACGGATCAAACCGGCCCAAAGGCATATTCAGGCTGTGAGAAGATGGAGCCTTTTTCCCTCACCTGCTCCTTCACCGGGGTGTTGACGTTGGACAGACACTGCTGGCACACAGCAAGGAACGATTTGACCACTCTCCTGAGAGCCACCAGGTCATCCTGCACACACGCCGCACACACACAACAGATAAACACGTTTGATTAGGAAAGAAGAGCACTCAACAAAATGTTGATTAATATATTCATTTTGTATTGGGATTAAACAAGCAAATAAATGCAAACTCTACCAAATAAATGACAGAAAAAGGATTCTACCTTTACTGACCAAAACACTTTAAAACGTTAAACACGTTAAATATGAATCTTTTCTCTTTTTCTTTTTAACCTTCTAACAGACCTGAAGAAATTGAGGAGTTTGGGGTTTTGGAACTGATTTAACTCCATTTGATTCTGGTCTTAATGCATTTCTTTGTCTTGGGAAAGGTAAGCTCACATGCTTTCTGGCAAAAACTATTAAATAAATGTAACTATAATTACTGCCCAATATTAAATCGCAGTTCATTTTTTCTCAAGGGAGCTAAAGACACCTTTCTCTAAGCTTTTATCCACTCTTGGGGACCATTTTCAAAGGGTTGTTTATTAGGATTAATGGCTTTCCCACAGCTGTACTTTCTCAGTGAAGATCTCAGTCTTTTGAAATAGTTTAAAAGATAAATCGAGAGATTTCGTTGCCTAAACTGAGCAGAAAGACAAACGACCGAACGCCTTTGCCTTTGCATCAGTGGTGATAGAGTGCTTTCGGCGAGCTGAGGCGAGTTGGGCACCTTGCTGGGAACCCCCTCTGTGATTTTGACCAGCTGCCAGAGGATGGAGTAGTGGGAACACTGCAGGGCCTGGACAGCAATCTGCTCCGGCATGGAGCCCTGCTCGATGCCAGCCTTCAGCAGCCGGTAGCAGTTCCCAAACAAATCCCACCGAGTCAAGTCGTGGGCACTAAGCAGGAAACCAGACAAATAACACGTTCACCACCATTAAATATCACCATATATCATATGAAACAGAACCTGTGATGAAAATCACATTGAAATCAATCTTAAACATGTGAGAAAAAATGTAAGGAGCAACTTTTACTTGTGGAAGGCTGTGAGTCTCTTGAGGGTTGACAAAACGTTGTAGATATCGTCGTCGTCTGCCTCCTCGGCCTGCAATAAAACAAACGTGTTGGTACGGCCGGAGCACAGCTTTAAACTAAACATCAGTAACCAACTGATTTTCTCAATTTTCCATAATTGTTGGAAGCTGTGGAGTTTTGGTGAGCTTGCTCCAGTTTTGTTTTGGACTGTATGCACGCATTACACCTAAAACACTGACTGGATCTGAACTATTAACTATGAACTATTAAATTTGCCTCTCGTCCGTCTGCTGTACCTCTTGAAGCAGCTCTTCGACCGAGTGTGCAAACCGGTCGGTCATCTCATCGATGAGCTGCGAGCGGGCGATGTCCACGCGGTTCATGATGGTGTACTCCTCGGAGCAGAGGATGCTGTAGGTTTTGCTGCAGGCCTCCAGCACATCCGTCTCGATGTGCTTCTCCACCACCAGCCGGATCTGCTTCAGTAAGGCGTCCAAGTGCTTCTCCATGCGCCCGGCGCTGTACACGTCCAGGTCGAAGAACTGTGGGATCTGCAGCAGATTGGCTACCATCTCTGAGTCGGCCTGGTACTGTGCGGGGAGGGACAGAGACCGGAGTTCAACGATTTAAGACGCGAGGAGGAAAGTTATGAAAAGGACACCAAACCGATCAGCGGCCGATGCTTTGTTTCACTTTCATGGACACTGAAACAGTCGATTAAAATGTATGTGTTTAGCCAGCACACTTGACCAAAGTGGCGGGTATTTAATTACACCTCTAATGCCAACATGAATAACACCTCGATCAATTTCTTCGACAAACAGATCAGTCTTCCGGCCAAGTCATTAGCTACTGGTTCTTCTCTCCGAGCCTGCGCAGCCTGCTGGCCGAAGCCCAAAAGAGCCTCACCTTGGACAATAACATCGGCAGAGCCATGATGAAGTGCTCTGTCAGTTTGTTCTTGTCGTCTATCTGGGTCTTCCTCTCCTTTGCTGTCAGCACCTGGACCAACAAAAATAATTTTATAAAAACACTGGAGCAGCTGCAAACACGAGTTTTAGTATAAGTTTAAGTGTGCAAGCAACATAACAGCTGTGTTATAATGTACACTTCTTATAGCACACAGTTATAATGTATAGCTCATCTAGTTATTTTCTTAATCCAGAAAGCGGACATAGTTACAGGACATAGAAAAATACAAATCAAAAGAGTGGGTAAATTCAACAAAATGAGATAGACAAACAAATCTAGTAAAACACGGTTGAAATCATGCATCCAGTCAGGCCTGAGTGTGTAAAGGTGTGTACAAATGTCCCACCCGCTTGCCGGTGCCTCTGCCCACAGGCGGGTGTGCCTCTGCCGCCTGGCGGATGGTGCACACCGTCAGCTCGATCAGGGCGCTCTCCTGCTTTTCCGACAGCACTGCAGACGGCCAGAGTCAGCCCGGGAAAAGAGCGGAGAGGCAGCAGACGCCAGCGAAGAAACAGAGAGGGGAATTAAGGAGTTTCATGGAACCGGACTCCATTACATCACCGTTTTCAGATGCGGTGCTGTGAAACAGCCCGGAGGCATTTCACAGGCTTAGGGAGGGAAACGGGACAGAATGTGAAAGGGAGGCTTACTCTCTTCTCCCTGCACGGGCTCCTCCAGCAGAAGCTCCGTCATGCACTCCCAGTCTTTCAGCAGCTCCTGGGAGCTTTCCCACAGCGAGTCCACCAGGTAGGCTGCGTGCTCGTGGAGCTGCAGCAACACACAGACACAACTGATGCATGCAGTTTCTGAAGAAACTTACTTCCACTAATCAGCAAAAAAGAAATCGGTATCAGGACGCATTTTTCCACAGTGAAAAGCAGAAGTCCAAAGCAGACAATGATCTCAAAATGATGAATTCAATCAAAGGCAGCCTGAAATCCTACAACTATGACACCATGCTGCAAATATGACAAATCAAAGTGTCAAGTCTTGTTTGAAACTGATAGTGTGAGCTGAGGGTGGGAGTCCGTCCTGACGCTTACCTCACTTTCCAGGAAGAAGAGCACCAGCATGCGGATGAGGTTCCCATTGGGGCTGCTCCTCCCTCTGCGCTTAGCCAGAGCCTCCTCTGCCTGAGGGTCGTGGCGACTGAACAGCCTGGCAACAGAAAGGAAAATGTTCAGGAGGGAAAAGAACTAAACAAATCACTGAAAGTGGTAAAAACCTGGGTTTGACGATACCGGCTTCATTTCAGGCCGACACAATTGGGGGGCCGGACAAAGCTTTAATGAATCGTGAGGACTCACTTCCTGTGGAGGAACTCTCCGGCGGCGACGGCCACAGGTCGGTGAGCAGAGTAAACCAGGTGGTACACGTTCTCGCAGTCTTCGTTGGACAGAGCGTCCTCGCTGCCTCTGTGGCATCATGATCAAATGCGATTGAGTGGTTAAAAAAAGAAAGAAGAAAAAAATCTGAACAATCCCCTCCAGCTCTGATGGACATTCAACGTGTTGGTGAGGATGCAGAAGGCAGCAGAAGCTACTCACTGCAGGATGAGTGTGACGAGCCGGATGGCCTCTACAGCCACGTCGTACTCCTTATCCAGCGTCATCGAAACTATCCGGTCCTGCCAAAACAGACGGGATTCAACGTGGAGGCAACTTTCATAAACAGACCGGAACACAGAAGGAGCAAATCCAACCGTGCTTAATGTCTGAGATAGTCCAGTAGTGAGTCTTACTTTGAAGCGGTTCGTGAAGAGCTCCAGTTTGGGGAACAGCTCTCGGTTTGTGTAGAGGTTCTGCAGCGCCTTCAGGCATTTCAGACGCACTTCTCCTTGCTGAAAGAGGGGACAGCTGGTTCAAGCTGAGCTAACGTGTCTGACTAAAGCAGCTGCGGGCGCGGCCGGCCGGTGCGCTCACCCTGTCGTGCAGCGTCCAGCCCACATATTTCAGGTAACTGTCGTTGAGGAAAGCGTCGCTGTACATCTTCATCCACACGCCGATCTCCTCTATGCAGATGGCTCGGATCTCAGCGATGGCGTCCCTGAGACACAGGGGGAGATAACGATCACCACTGCTGACCCGCTTCCTTTTGAAAACACGCGTTCTCTAAAGACGTACGACATCAGAAAACAAGGGGACACTGCACACCTGTAGCGATGCACAAAGATGCCCTTGAAGATGGAGTTCATCATGTTCTCTATTTCATCTTGGTTCTCTTGAAGCTGTGGAGAGACACACTCAAAGTTAGAGTTAATTCTGAAACTGGAGTTATTTTACAGCCATCTGGAAATGTACTGAAACCCAGAAGTCATTTTTCCTCTAAAGGCTGTTTCAAGTAAAAGTTCATCTTTGAAAAAATACAGTAAGGGTCCCAAAACAAATGTCTTGAAGTCTCTAAATCTTCTGGAAATCCATTTGGAAACCGTCTAACACAAATTCACACCTGTGAATTTACTTAAAGACGTAAAAATCTGATGGTATTTTGTCTTCTCTACACGGGAAAAAGCCTTTAGAGAGTAACATCCACCGATATCTCAAAGCACCCTGGGTGAAAAGATGTATCGAACACCAGCCGACCTCTTTCCTCTTCTGTAGCAGCAGTTCCAGCTTCTCATTGGCTCGCTTGCCGGCAATCTTGTTCCTCTCAGCCTCGTACTGTCTCTGGGTGTTGTCCTGATGAATGCTGAGGTTCAAGGCTACATTGACCAGCGCCGTCATCAGTTTCATCGCTACACAAGAGACAGACACAAAGACACCCACGTAAAGCTCTGCTGGAAATAAAAACTCTTTAGCCAACCTGGTTTGTAAACAGGTTTACACGACACTGTGTGCATCAACGGGTCGAAAAACCTTCCCATTTTGTTAAAGCTAACAAAACGGGGAGTCGTCTGTGTCAACAAGCACTTCTGACATAGACTTGTGGCTTTATGGGGAATACCTGCTAATGTGGAGGTGTGCCTGAAGGCTCGCACTTGGGAGTCAGACAATCCGGTGAGGAGGGAGATGACCGTGTCCATCATGTACTCGTCGTAGATGATGCTGTACTGACACTGGCGGATCAGAACGCTGATGAACTCGCAGAAGTTGTAGCGGAACTTTTTCCACATGGGCCCTGGCATGGTGAGAGGATAATCCCCACTGTCCTGCAGACGAGAAAAAGACGAAGCTCTGGCTGTAAGCATCCGTGGGCAGCCTGGGTCCCGTGCTCGAGAGGACTTATAAGGGTCACAACTCCTTCCGGAGGGGAGAAGTTAAAAAGTGGTAGCCTTACCTCATCAAACTCCTCCGTCATTTTACGGATAATCTCGGCGTTCTGCATGTTGCGGAACATCTCGATCCGTACGGTTCCTGGTTACAGAGCAAAGCGGCGCGCGGTGAGGCGTGGGACTCTGAGCACAAAACAAGTGACTGGACTGCAGAGGAGGCTGGGAAGTCTCACCTTTGCAGCCTGAACACTGGATGAAAAAATTGATGAGGTCCAGCAGAGCCATGTCTCGGTCCTGTTTGTAGGACTCGATCCACTCATCCACCACCGACTGGAAACACACACAACCACCCCCCCCAAACATTTTACTTTCTGCTCATTATCGTCATTTTCGTAGACTGTCTGTTACTGGAAACGAAAAACAGAGTCGAAACAAAACCAATCCAAGTTAAAACTAAAAACATGTCACAAGATGACACTTACCTGCATGGCACTCTTGCCCAGTTTGACCACCTCAAAAAGGGTGACGGGGTCTCCCCCATCCCCATTGTGTTGAGCCACGCCGTTTGCTTTCCCTCTCCCTCTGGACATGCCCACTGTCTTGTCTGTCGGTGACTTCCGTGGCTTCTTATTGGATGGCTATGGAGAGAGGAATGTGAATTAAGCCCGCACGAAGCTTCCCCGCTCTTCACGTTCGGAAGCGGACTCATACCATTGGCTGTTTTCCAGGCCTCCCTCTCTTCTTCTTCCCTTTCACCTCCTGCTCCTCCATCTCAGTCATGTTCATACTCAGGCCCACGGCATCTGCTGCACCGGACTCATTGGAAGAGTCCCTGAAATGCAAAACGCATGACTCGTTAGCACTCAAAAGTTTGTATTCATCCACAAGCATGCAGAGGAAAAAAGAAAAATCCTCATGTCACGTTTCACCGACATGACATTAGGATTACATGCTTTCAGATAAAAAGACATGAGTCATTAAAAGTACCACAAGTACTGCACACAGCATTTTTTTCAACTGAATATAATCTCTAAATATAGAGATTTCTTGTTTAAGGCAGAATAGGATTTATTTAGACAATCAAAGTTAAACAAACAGCTGCAGGTGACAAAAATAAACATATTGCAGAAATCAACTAAATTATTCTCCAAGAAAATTCTCCTCAATCAAACGCTTTTTCATCAGCATCACTCACTGCAGGACAGGAAGCTCTGAGGTGATCATCTCGGCCAGTTGGGGAGCGGTCGACCTGTGCACCTCGGTGTTCCTTTTCGGAAATGAGAGCGACGGAGCGACTCAGGTGTGAAAAATGGAGGGAGCCGATGGAGTCTGAGGAGGGGGAAGGTCTGGAAGGGCAGGGAGGACAGGCCCTCGCGACAGACTGCACTTTACTTGCCAGCACTTAACTCTCTTCAGCTCCTGAAATACATTTTGGAAAAAAAAGGAAGAAAATTTAGACATTATGAAATGTAACCAGTCCTTTATGGTGACACAGACTCTCAGATGGGGGCACCATTGAAACATGTACACAGAAGATGCCAAAAGGGAGGTTAGGCTATGTGAGATTTTTAATGATTTTCAAGATAAATCCAATAAAAAATGCTGTTCATAACTCCAGTGTTAGCTTCCAGGTGACTGTAGGTCATTCATGAGATGTCCACTGTGTTTCATCTGTAATGGCCAGTAAAAACAACTTTTAATTCCAATAAATCAGCCCATAAGAAGTGGAAACAGGGGAATGAGGACACCAACTGTTCAATTTGAGAACTACAACAGCAAAATATTATCAGTCAGGTGGGGAGGATCTCCACACTAAACAGATGGGGTCAGACTTTTTGGAGCAGAAGTCACTGAGAATTATTAAAAAGGCCAATCATTTAGTAAACTTCCTTTACAGAATGAGATCATCAGAAAACATTTACACCTCTTGGCTTTGTTGAAAATAAGTAATAGAGACAAAAAATAATAATAATGATAATTGGTTAGTCACACATTCATACCTCTTGGGAAGAAACAAAAACCATAAGTCTAAATCGGACAAAAAACGGGGCAAAAGTTTTTCAGTACAAAAAACGTTTAATGAACAATACACTCGAAAAATTCATGCAAAAAAATCTTAGCAGCCATATTTTATAAAGGAAACAGCTCATTTCACACAGGAAAAGCAGTTACGTTGATTAGAACGCTAATTGTTGACGGTGTCATATGTTAATAAGAGCTAAAAGAGGAAGGTGCGTAATGCCGCAGCCCGCCACAAGGGGCAGCATGCTCCACAAAGTCCTCTGCCCTCGGTCCATCTCCAAACGGCTTAATTGAGATTAAACCAGAAAATGTGGGTTGGGAAAAATCAACTAAGACCAATTTAGGACCCCTCTCGGTTCCACAGCAATCCTGCGCACCCAAAAAGGGTTTACGGGCGCTATTTTCCCCCGTGTGTGTGAAAGTGCATGCGTGTGTGTTTGAAAGTGGGTCTGGGCAACAGTAGGGGGCAGGCTAAGAGAGTGTGTATTTAAATACTGTCTTCATCGTGGTGTTTGTAGTGTGGAATGAATTTGGGCTGTTTCATCACGCTCAGCTTCACACACACACACACACACACTCACACACACAAAATACTCAGACAAGCAGGCTGTCCTGTGGCAGTGAGATACAGACACCAGGAGAGGAAGAGATTTCAATCAATGCATTGCCAGGCTGCAATCCTGTGGGGTGATTAGCTGTTCAGAATATCAGATCAAAAGCTTGCCCGTCTCAAACTTCCAGTGTGACATTTTACAACAAACAGGGCCCCGGGGGGACCCTGTTTATTTATTCTGCCTGCCTTCACACGCACGTCTAATGGACTTTGACAATCTAGCTGCTGCTATAGGACAAACTGAGGCCTGATTCTGCTGACGTCTCTTGTAAACAGCAAACGGTTGTAAAGACGATGCACAAACTGTGCTTCATCCACTCTTTAAATGGATTTTTACGGATAATATCTGCACACAGAATCGTATGCTGCCCCGGTAAAAAGAAGAAAAAAACAAAGAGAAACAAATGGTATCAGGGATTCAGTGAAAAGGGGAAAACGATGTGAACGGAAACCACTGTGACAAGATAGCAGCTAGAGCCAAGCTGTGAGGCTTAGAAGAGATGTTTTTAATTCCTACAGGATCGACATCGGGTAATTAGCTAGTAGATGACTGTTGATCTACAGATGATGGAGATGAATTAGACTCTAATTCGGTGGAACGCTCTTCAGTTATTTTAATGTGCGGATGAAAGCTTCACAATGATTCAGAGCCAGCTGGGGCTGAGAGAATAATCAACGCGCAGTAAAAGTCCGCCTGGGGAGTGAAGAAGTGGGGAGAAAATGTCCAAATTCCAGTCCACAAAGTCTCAAGTGGAAAAAGAACACAGCATTTATTATTGATCTATTTCCACCCCAAAACAACCCTCTACAGGACTTAAAAACATCCACCTTACGCCATCACTCCTCCTTCAACTGCCCAAACTGTTTTACAGCAGCTGTATCTTTAATTCCTACAAGTTTCCCCTTCCATCTGATCATCAGATGGGACTGCAGCCAATATCACTCTGGTTCATTTTGAGTTACTTTTCTAATTTGGTGTCGAGAGGGTGACAGCAAAGAGGACACTTTATGTTTAAAAGTGTTGTGTTTGCACAAGCCGGGAGCCTTCCTGCCCCCTTATTGACCAACAACTAAATAATCCTCACCGAAGACACACACCCAGACACACACACATACACACACACACAAGTGTAGCAGCTCCAACAGGAGCTTATGAATAATTTGCACAGACTCCTGAATTTTTGGGAGGACTGGACTGAAGCTGCCAACTACATTTACTTTGCACCTCTCAGCCTTTGCAGTTCATTTCCAGAACAAGAAGTGACATGGAACCGCCTAAACAAATGTTATTACTACAGTGATGGAGGGTTTTTGGCTAAATCTGCTTCTCTAAACTGTCAAAGTTTTGCCAAGTTTATGGGGGAAAAAAATAAATGCAAAAAAGATTCCTACAAAATTGGTCAGAAAACATCTCCTTAGTTTCCTGAATGTGATACCAGAAGTTTTGAGAAGGAAAAAAAAAGAAGCAGTTTAAAATAAATAAATAAATAAAGTTTCCTACTTATTTTGGGCTCAACAGTAGGAGGGGTGGACTGGTGAGTTTGCTTCCTGACTGCGTTGTCATGGTAGGAATCAAGACTGAAAGTATGTGAATGCTTTTTTATCCCCAGCATTTGCCTGGAGCGCCCAAGTAAAAATAACCCAAACACCCAGAAATGTTTCATTTGCACTGAAACTTCATGAACTTTGATGAGACCTGCTCAGCCTGAGCCACCTCTCTGCTCTTAGCTCCTTTCTTCCCACTCTGGTTAGAAAAGGTTCTCAAGGTGTCTGAATATTGCTGATGTAGGGGATCCAGAAGAAGACAGACGGATGAGGAACTCCAGGAGATCCTCATCCGTATTCTCACGCAGCCTCTTTGAGTGACTTGAAGCTCATCTTTACCCACAGCAGATATTCAGCGAAGAAACAGGGGTCGCTGGGGCTAAAACAGACCGTGGTTTGACTGAGCAATTCTCACTACAGTTTCAGAGAGACTCAAGCCCCAACTGTTAACTGAACATGTGTAGAACTTCATCCCGAGAGTGTGTGTGTGTGTGTGTGCATGTGTATAACTGTGTGTGAGCATGTTAGGAGTGAATGCAAGACAGAGACAAGTGAGCATCTGTGAGCCACTTAACATGCATGACATGTTCTCTGGGAGGCAGGTCGGCGTTGCTATAGCAACTAGTGTGGGTCATAAACCCGGCAGTCATGGCATATATGATTGGCTGCGTGAGGACCGGAGGAACCGCGGTGAGGCGAGGAGCAGACCAGAACAGAACAGAACGGGACCAGATACAGACCCAGCCATTTCTCCATGACACCTCGGGGGTTTTTTCCATGTGCCGTTACAGCAGTCACGCGTTTCAAACTCACGCGTTTCAAAGTGTAGAGACCGGCGCTTTCCCCAGCCGCTAGCTCAACGTGTGTGAGCACACAATGATGAGGTTCTGAGGCTCCTCTGTTTGGCGTTGGGAATAACCAGAAAACATGAGAAAAGGCTCGTGTTGTGTTGATGTTCAGTGATGAGAAATACATTCCAAGAGCCAGCCCTACCAGTTCCACACAAAGCTTTGAAATGGGCTACAACTATCACTTAAAGCAACTCAATATTGTCCGGTAAGAGCCTCCAAAATGTGGGTTATCACCACCAAACGTGATCAAAAAGCAATGAAATGTATAAATATTATACAGTTATAAAAAATGTATAAAACCCAACTAACATTTTGTAAATGCAAGTCTTAGGTCTGCTTTAACTACTGAACATAACAGAGAATAAACAACAAGTGATCAAAGCTTATGACCAATTCCCCCAACGGTAGGGAGCTCGAGCTTCTGTTGAATTGTTGCATATTTCACTGGTCCATTGAGTTTTATAACACAGCTGCTATAACGTGTAAATGTGTATTCTCAGACCATTAGGGAGCAGAAAATAACAACGTGCACTGTGTCAGAATATTTAGACAGAAATGGAGTAAAAGGTGTAAATCAAGTTATCAGCTTATTTTACCAAAGGGAATGTCTCCCATGTCCACCTCATGCTTATTGATTCATTAAAATATCATTTAAAATTCTGCCTCTCTTTTTGGGAAAAGGGAGCAGTGCCAGTTTCAGAAGGAAATGTTGCAGTAAAATAAGCTTTGGCTTCTTTTACAGTCCAGTTACATTGTTATATCACACAAACTAAGCAGGACTCAGCTTCTTATGATTCAGAGGATTCACACAAAAAACACAGTGTTTCCTCTCTTTTTGGATGAGATCACAGAGTGGATAGTCTGTCAAATTGCTATGCCCACGCCTGTGTGATGACTCAGCGTCACCTGTTGCAACAACAATAAATTCTAACAAGCCTATGCTAACCCTGGCAGCCCAGATTTCATCTACATTTGCAGACTGAGGAAAATTCCAACAACCATAAATACAAAAAGGGCTTACATCCAGTGTCAACTATAAAGTCAGGTACCATCAAACTACTGCAGAGGGGCAAATCGCATCAAATATTTAAAGGGAGAAACCTCTTGAAACCACCGGGAAAGGGGACAATAGTGCAGGGAAAAAAGTTCAAATGTTAGCCATGCTTGAATGAGGAATGTCTACAGAGTTCTTACTTGTACTATTTTAGGTTTTTCTGTGTGAAATAAACCATGCAAAGTGTTTTAAAATTGTCTGATCCTACAACAAAATGATGTAAATATATATATGGCTTGTAGGAACAGCTGCACCGTCTTTACTGTTTATACTTTATAGGGTTTAAACCCACACACAGGAGGATTTATAAGGTAGTAAGAATAAGTCCATGTTTGC